AGCACAGAGAAATCCCAACAGCAGCACACCAGGGCAATGCCAGCTGGACACTCTTATCTGCAGCTGCCCATCAGGAACAGTAAAATCCATGGATTCGGAGGAAAAGAGTCTCAGAGTAACTTTCTGAATGTTTCAGTGTGTTTTCTCTCCCCTGTATATCACAAGGATTTTCCAACCTGAATATCCAACTAAGCCAATCTCCTCGTGCTCCTTCTACCTCAGGAGACATTTCCAGGGGGCAACACAAAGCAGAAAACCAAATTAAACGTTCCAGTTCCCCTCCCAGGCCACCCCTCCACTGTGGAGAAATCTCTGTGAAACAGATCAGCCAAACCAGACATTTCATTTCAGCAAGGAATTGTGTTTCAAATTCCCTGGGTATCAAATTAGCACAGCCCATTTTTCCAGTGTCGGGGAAAGGAAAGCCCTGAGCAGTTCAGTGGGACACAAGGAAGTTCCCATGAAAACTCATCAGGTTTAATGAAACAAGGCCAGAAACCACCTTCAAGAGCTGAGCCACAGGTGCTGTCCCATGGTTTGTGTGACAAGGGACTCGCTCCATGCCCTCAACCACATTGGGAGCGCATTTCCACAGAAATCATGGAATGGTTTTTTGGGTTGGAAGAGCCCACAAATCCCAGCTCATTCCAGGGACACCTTGCACTGTCCCAGGCTGCTCCAAGCCCTGTCCAGCCTGGCCTTGGGCACTCCCAGGGACGGGACAAACTCTGTCCTAAGGAGTCAAGCATCACTTAAACAGGATTTCACTTGGGAAGAACAACCACCAGAGCTGCCTTTGCTCCCAGGACCTTTTCAGAGGATCACAAGTGTCAAGCAGGCCCTGGCCAGCAGCTCTCAGCACTGTGAGCTGTGCCCAGCCCCAGCTGCTCCCAGGGCAGGAAACAGCCTGGCTGCAGGAGCTGTGCTCCGAGGGTGGCTGCCAGAATTACCTTCTGCCTCCGCCTGAATCCCAGCTCCCAGGGAACAACTCGCACGCTCACGCTGCCAAAAGGCAAAACTGAGCAGAAACCCCAGTCCCAGCCCTGTTGTGCTCACTATTCTTCACCAACACCATGTGAAAAATTCCCCACATTCAACAACACCATCCCTGCAGAGTTCTATTGTCTCCAATTATTAATTAAACATGCTCTGAGAGAAAGCAAATGCCTAAAATCATTTGCTTCTACCAAGCAACTCCCACACTACCCCAGTGCAATTCAGACAGTCTAAGTATATCCACGGCCTGCAATTCCAGAGGGACCAGCAGCACACAACTCTCCCTTCTCTCCGCTTCAAGCACACGCACGCACGAGCCACGGGAGACCCCAGCCAAGAAAACCCGGCCAATTTCCCTCAAAACCTGCTCAGTGTTGATAACTTGTCCCAGCTGAATATCCCGAGTGTCTTTTCACTCCCCCCAGGGGCAGCAGAGGCTGTTGGGGTTTGTGAGGAGATCTGTGCAACCTTTCATAACCAAGGCAGATCCAGCCCGGGCCATTCCTCACCTGGACCCATCCCATCCCCTCCCTACGTGATGTCCTGATCCCTATCCAGGCTTTTTTCCTGGATAAACAGCACACAAACGCTCCACTGCAGCCAGGGTAACTCTGCCCAACAGCAATCACACAGCCTAAACACTCAAATATTAAAATTACTGGGGACCCTGACACTCAACCTCATCCTGCTGCTTTTTGTGGGTAAAAAGAGAAAAATCTGCAGTTAAGTGTCCTCCAGGGAAGTTTGGTGATGAAGGATGAGGAGCTGCAAACAGCTGGGATTTTGTTCAGGAGATCTGAGAGACCGAGTCAGGAAATCAAAAATCTGATTCCAGCACCACTTCAGTGTCTGCAGGGACACAGGAGACCTTACAGCACAAGCTTTCTGTGGGGATGCTGAAGCTTGGACACCTAAATTTCTGAAATTACAGAGACATCTTTAATTGCTTCATTTTATATCAAAACCCACACACACCTCCCAGAGGAGGAGGGGAAAATGCAACAGGAAAAGAAAGTTTCTAAGCAAAACACAGACACAGCATTTTCCTGCTGCTCACAGGAGGAAGGAGCTTCTCTCCTCCCTTCCTTGGGAGAAACTTTTCCTCAGGCCATCCCTGCTAAAGCCACTCTCAGCTCAATTCCCAGAGCTGCCAGTAGGAAAAGTGACCAGGAGAAACAGCACAATGAAATCCATGGAAAGCCAGGCTCCTGCAGCTGTTTAATGCCACCACGAAATGCCATCATTTGATAAAAGCCACCGCAGTGCTGTCACCAACAGACACATGTCTGTCTACACACCCAACAAAAACAATCTGGGATTCAACAATTAAAATCCTTCTACCTTTAATTACGACCTCCCATGCTCTAGGCAGACATTAACCTGTATTAGCCTATAATTATTTTTTTTCTGACTTCCCATTATCTTTTAGCTACTGAGTTTCCCAACCAGTCTTCAAGGCTGAACAATCTTTGAAAGTCTAAAATGAAAAGTGCAGTAATAAAAGTGCATCCAGAAGAAACTGAGAGCTGGGAGACATCCCTAATGATTCCCTACCACCCTGCATGTCCCAGCACTTCCTTCCACTTCTGTTTTTGCAGGCCAAATTCAATTCTAAACCCAAACTGAATGAAATCACTTTGCATGAGTGAGATTTGCTCTTGCTCCAAGGAATTTATAATTTAAGAAGCAGATGTGGAGGGGGCCAGCAAGTCAAAAAGAAGGGCAGTGTTAGTATTACACATCCTGCACTCTGCTCCCCAGGAGTAAAACCCTGAGGGGCAAGCAGAGAACCATGGAAAAAGAGGGCAGGAGCACCAAACTCTGCTAAAACTCTGCTAAAAGTGATAAAACTCTGATAAAATGCCCATCAATCACTGGAGCACCCGGTATCAAACGAGACAGGGAACAGGGTTAGTGCCCCACCTCAGAGCTGACTTGGGAGAAATTAGACACAAAGATTGCTCTGGAGATGAGCACTGAATGCAAAAACACTGGAACTATGGCTGCAGCACATTTATCACAGAGCACAAGGCAGCAGGAAGCAGAAGAGATAAAAACCCCAATGTTAATTCTGCTCTGCTGGGTTATTTCCTGAGCCTCAGCTCGCAGAACTCTCAGGGGAAACAGAGAGCATCACACAGAATCATCTCTGAGCCCCATCCTGCAGGTGTGACCTGGCCACACCACCTCCTCACCCCTGTCCTGCCACCACACCATGCAGGAGCTGCATTTGAAAAGATCATTTCAGCTAGCAGAAGTTAATGAGCTTTCCCTTCATTAAGTGGTTTATTTATTAGGATCATTTCATTGCACAAGTTACTGAAGAAAATCAAGCTGAGCAACACTTCTGCTGACAACAGGGCAAGCCTCTGGAACAGGCAGGATTCTTTTGTTTGAGGGAAAGTTTAAATCTTCCCATTATTAAATAAATAAATGAAAGTTTTTAGCAGAGTTTTTAATGACTGTGAGCTTGGAGTGCCCTGTCTCCACCCCCCTTATCTCCAGTGAATTTTGTTGTCTTTGCTTCCAGGGATTTGCAGTGAAAGGAGGATGAAAGTGTGAGCTGGAGAAAAAGAGGACTGAGAATTTATGACATCATTTGAATTCATGAAGTCATCTTGCCACAAAATGCCCAAACAATAGCAGGCCCTGCCCGGGCATCTCCACCCCAAGACTCTGTGGTGGCTTTGATTTGGAAAACCCACAAGTCTGCAAGAAGAAATTCTTGCTGATTGTTTCTTTCACAACTTAAAACATTGAGATCTCTGGCAGGGATGCCTCTTGAAGCAAGTTTTACAGTTAGTGACTGAAAACTCGGGTAATAAACAGAAAAATGACATCTGTTTCAACGCAGTAATTCCTTCTGAAGTGATACCTAAATACTACATTTCTCCATAAGGGAAAAACAACAATATTTCTCTAGCTCCTTAGCTCATACTGCAGTATTTTACGTGATTTTTCTTCCAGAACAAATTAACAGGGCACTTGGGTTTATTTCTTTGTTGATGTGCACGCTGCCTTCGGTGAGGCTGCAAAATTCCCTGCAATGTTTGCTTTTAAATGGTCTGGTTGGCAACACATCCCCTGGGGAGGCACAGCAGAGGAGCCAGCGCTCGGTCGCTTTGATTCCAGAAACTGGAGGCAGGAGATGCTCGTAAGGCTTGCAAAAGCTTTGTGTCTGCTGCCCTGGCAATATTTGTGGGGATCATTCTGCTCTCAAATGTGCTTACACTCGGGTTCTGCTGCCTCGGAGAGGAAGCACTCGTGTGTCTTTGATGAGTGAGCTACAGGTCAGACAGAGTGGAGTGAGTCAGCCACTCGTTTAACTGCAGCACCAGTGACAATGCAACTGCTGAAAAGACTTCGAGTAAACAGCCTGGCCCACCACCCCTCTAGAGACTCTGAGTGCCTCGAAGAAGTTCCTAAAACCACTGCTTGGTGACACTCTTGAGGCTGCTCTTCTCACTTCAGCTACACACAGCATCACCACCTTCCCCTCTACATGACAACCATAAAAACCCAACCCCAAAGCACAGAAACCCACTCAAACGTACCACCAGCAACTTCCACTCCTGTGTTTTCCAATATTGGGAATGGTAAAAGCCCAACCTACATGCATTGGCAGTTTTGTAATACCATTACATAAGAATTATTTAACTACAGCAACACATTTGAAAAGCAGCAGCAGCAGCAGCAGTCACAGCTATGCTGGTTCACACATCAGATAAAAAAAAAAATCAATAAAGGGAGCGATGAATTTTGTAAACATGCATTGGACTGTCACAGGGAGTGGATCGGGATTTGGGATTTCAACACCCTCAAGAGCAGAAACCTTTCAGCTCAGAGCTACCAGGGCACCGCCACCCTAAGAAGAGAGAACAAACAGCACCACTGTTGCCATTCCAACTCCACCAGAACCAGCTCCAGCTTTGGAAGAGCAGCGTGAAAAGCGTCTCTGAGAAGCCTGCAGGGCTGACTCGGGAAAGCTGGGAGTGCTTTTCTACCTGATGCTCTGCGTGGATGTTGTCCCCGGTGGGCCAGCGGTGTTTGCTGTTGTTGTAGCCGCCGCCGCCGCTGCCTCCTCCCCCGAGCTGCTCCCCGTGCTGCCTCTGGAAGAAATAATCCACCATGGCGTCGTCCTGGGAGCGCCCTGCCACTCCTATGGATCCTGGCACGGGGCTGGAGTGTGTCCCTGCTGCAAGGGCCTGGTTTGCAGCTGGCTGGGGCTGAGCCTGCGAGCCTGTGCCAGATGTCAGTACCACAGGCATGGTGGGGCTGGCTGTGTCTTGAGCGTGCTGCTTCAGGTGGGGGCTGAACGAGTCCTGCCACAGAACTGCTTTTCTCTTCAAAACGCACGCTACGCTCATTCCACCAACACCTGCAGGGGGGACACGGGGGAAAGAGAAGGGAAAGAGACATGAAATCCTCCCAGCTGCGGCTCTGAGTGTTAAATAACACACCCATCTCGTGACTGCCAGGGCAACACCGCTGTGGCAAATGGGGCTCCTCCAACACCCGCTGGCTCTGAGAACCCAGCAGCTACCGGGGCACTGGGAACGCTCAGAAATGTCACATTCCGTGCTCCGTGGGGCTAGCAGGATGCACAGGATGCCTGTGAAGCACCAGAATGGCAATTTCTGCGAGGGACAACACACTGACTGGGAAACAGCCCCCAAAAAACCCTTGGAAGGCAGTGACACCAGGACCTGCTGTGCCCGTGCAAGGCAGGCAAAAGAGAACGGGTCCCCCATCCACAGGAACACTCAAGGCCCCGTTGTATCCCACAGTATCCCAAAGTATCCCAAAGTATCCCAAAGTATCCCCCTGTATCCCAAAGTATCCCCTCAGTCATGCAAAGGAACAGTTTGCTTTGGTTTTGGGGTTTTTTTGCAATGCAAACTTCAAATCCTGGATTTCTGCCTGTACAGCTGATGGAGCCCCGAGCGCAGCGTGCGCTCTCGCTGCTAACTCCCAAGCTGTGCTCAGGAACCACAAAAACCCACGGACACTATGGAATTCCCTGGAGAAGGAGCAGCAAACCTGGGATCTCGGCAGAACTTTCCAGAGCAGGCACTGCCGGTCCTGCTGTCCACGGCACCGGGGCAAAACCGCACAACTCCAACACATTTCGGTGCCCACAACACCCCAATAAAATACCCCAAAAAATCAAATACCCCGCATGAAATACGCCTACAGATTAAGATGACAGCAACTCACGAACTTCCTATCCCCCAAATATTTTGCTAACGTTCCAGCAGCACAAAACCACAGAAGTTTGTTTGTTATTTTGAGGCAGGACTATCAGAGCAGTAAGGACACTACAGGTGTGAACAGCAAAGTGTTCTCCCCGTTATGTAACACTCACACGACGAGCCCAATTCCTTTTTAAAGGCATGGGATAGTCTGAATTCATCTTTATTAAAAAGACTGATAGTTTATGATTTAAGGTACCTAAAAGCAGCCCCACAGAGAGTTCTGAGGATGGATTTGGGGTGGTGGAGCCCTGGGAAGCTCCTGGCAGAGCAGCCCCAAGGGCCTGAAAGGCGGCTCTGTTCCCTCCCTGCTCCTCGTAGTAGCCCTGAACAACACCCAACTACTACAAACAACTTCTACAAACACCCTACAAACGGTGGGGAGAGCAAAATGAAAGATCTGAGTCGTGTCTTTGACCAGAGTTTGTCAGGTTTGCCCCAGGAGTGGAGCATGAGGTTAATACTGGGAGGAAAACGACTGGAAAAAGTGCAGCCATCAGGTTGTTTGAATCGCACCTCCAACATCCCTTGGTGCTGCACACACACAGCCCCCAGGGCCGCTCCGCAGGGCTTTTTATACACCCACAACTCAAATACCAACATCCACCAGGACTCACTCCTCCAGCTTTCAGAGTCTGGAAATCACCACCTTCCCCACATACTTAAAAACACACTGGGAACTCGGTATGACTAAATCTTGACTGGTTTTAAGACTGCAATTCGGTTTAATGGCATTTTTCCTCTGATTTCCTTTGAGCAAACAATATCAAAATCTTTCAGTAACATCACATGAAGTGCTCCTCTATGCAAAAAGAATTAAAAAAAAGTAAGTAATTAATGGTAAGAATTCAATTTATCATCGAAACGAGGTGTGCGTTAACTCCAGCAATGAAATCTGAGCGGGCCCCTCCAGAGGAAGTTACAAGTTATCTCAGGGCAGACCGTAAAAAAAAACAAGCAAACAAAGGAAGATACTATGAATCCCCACCAAAAAAATTCCCAGGATCTGCAGCCCGTGGCCAGCCCACTCCCAGCGCCAAACAAGGTACAAAGTTACACTGCCACAGCCTTTGCTCCTGCAACAGGCCGCGCCAATTAATGGAACCAATTAATGGAACCAATTAATGGAATCAGTTAATGGAATCAGTTAATGGAATCAGTTAATGGAATCAATGAATGGAATCAATGACTGGAATCAATGACTGGAATCAATGACTGGAATCAATGACTGGAATCAAGGTGTTCATGGTGAGAATCGGGAGGCTCCAGAAAAGCTGGGTGGGTTAAGGAGAGAAGAACTCGGCACAGGAGACATTTTCCAAGGAGCGAGGGGAAGGGAGCGGGCAGCTCCCAGCCGGGATTTGATGGAATTTCGGGATCCGGAGAGCGGGCCAGCTGAATCCTGTCACTCACAGCTGCACCAAGTCACCTACACCGCAAAGCCGCAGCTGCTCGGGGCCTCCCGAGCCTCTTCCATTCCCAAACTCTTCCTAAAAATAGAGCATCAACTTTTCCCAGGTGGGCAGGAGGCCGGGTTCGCAAACAAAGGCTTCGGTGCCGAGCTGAGGGAGGGCGGCTCTGCTTTTCCCTGCATGAGAACTCGGCACAAGGAGCTGCTCCCAATTCTTCCCATTCTGGGACGCTCCGCAAACAACAAAATAAAAACTTCCGAGGAATCTCCCCCGCGAGTTTGAATCAGCGGTGGTGACACCGCTGGATAAAGGAGATTGAATCCGCGCAGAGCCTGGCTCCACAGCCACATCCTCCTGCCCACCATTCCCTATTCCCCTCAAAATCACACGTTATTCCAAAAAAACAGCGTCTCCAAAGAGTTCAGCCCCAAAGCAGAGGAGTTTGGGCTGGCTGGGTTTGTTTTGTATTTTTTATTTATTTTTTTGGGGGGAAGTTGCAGAGGGAATGAAAGCAGAGCCATTGTTTGAGAGCGCTGTGGCCTAGCAGAACTTTTAACGTTATCCCTGTGTTTTCCTGGAATCCTGGGGGAAGCAGCGCTCAATTCCCGAGCCGGGCCATTCCCAAAAGCGGCACTAAAAACCCCAAAAGGACCCCCGGTCCCCCCTACCCCACCTCCATCCCTCCTCAGAAAGGAAATTCCTTACTCATGATCTGCCCAGTAAAAATCTCTGCTCCCAACAAAGTTATTAAACATTGACCAAAGCAAACAACAACAACAACAACAAAAAAACCAACCAGAGAATTTCTCAGGTTGGGGCGAGAGGCTCTTAAAATTCCAACTTTGCAGCTCCCAGGGGCCGAGGCTGTTGTTATGTGAGCACGAGATAAAAACCAGGGGGGGAAATAAAAAACCCCAACCACAAAACCCCCGGGGTCACCCAGCACATCCAAAAGGATCGGGAGCTTTTTTCCGCCGCCAGCCCCGACCCTCTCCTCTGCCAGGGACCCCCCGAAGC